TTTTTTTTTTTTTTTGTTTTGTTATATTCTAACCGATTCTTCTTCTCGTTCCATTCCAGATACAAATGGCATTTGTGGTACACATCGTTGTGGTAATTGTGAATTTGATAATGATGGTTGTTGAGATGTTTGAAAATTAGATGTGGACGAAAATGAAACAAGAAGATTATTACTAGAAGATGATTGATTTGTTGTGGTGGTTGTTGTTGATGAATTTGTAAGTGTATTATTATTATCATCATGTTGATCGACAAAAAGTCGTATAGGTTTACTCGGATCAAGATTTCGTGCTCGAAAAAGAGGACGATTCATCGAATCTAGAAAACATTAAATAAAAATTTTTTTTTTCTTTCCTTCCCTTTTCTTTTTTATTTTTCCTTTTTTTTTTTATTCTTCAAACGAAATATAGAGAAAAAAATGCACTCGTTTGTCGTATGCTACCATTGACTGACTGAAAAATAATACACACATACACACTAAGGCTTGCTCGTCACCAAATTTTGATGATGAATGGGCACATATATATATATATATATATATATATATATAAATATGAATGAGCTAGCCAGCTATAACTTCCTTCGTTCTTTCTAAGCATATACGCGCGCTTAAAAACGATGATAGAATCACGTGTTGAAGTACATGGATTTTTTTTTTGTTATTCTGTTACAGACAAGATCATAATTGAATGACGGAAATAAAAAAGAATGTGCCTGTTTGATATTGGTAATGTCTCAAGGATATTATACACACCTTTATCAGACAAAAAAAAAGGAAATTGAAGAGCACAATTCAACTTGCAATTTTCATCTAGAAAAAAAGACGAAGAAAGCAAAAAAAAAAAAAAAAAGGTCAGATGAGTACGTTGATCAAATAAAAAACTTCTCGCTGTTTTATAGTGGGCAAATGAAAAAAGAACACGTCGATTTTTTTTCCTTTTTTTCGTTCTTTATACTATCATATGCCACGTCGTCATTCGTTTTTTTCTTCTTTTACTACTACGATGACAAACAAAACAAAGAATGATAATCATTTGTTAACAATATAAAAACGTAGGAGGAAGAATAACGGAAAAGACACTTACGAAAACAGCAACTGTTATTATAACTTGAATTCTATTGTCTTTATCAACTATATATATATATCTGACATCTAACCAAGGTCGATTGGGCGACAACGAACTATTTTCATATGATTATGCAATACAAAAAAAATATATATATATATATATAAATAATAAAGAGGAAGAACGTACGTAAAGAATGAATAAAAATAAAATCATTTAAGGAATAATCTAATTAAAATACACTTCATGACAATATAAGGAATTTTTGGTTTTGGGGTTTTCAAAGAAAACAAAAACAATTTTTGAATATATAAAGAATAATTTTTCCAATGTAATCATCTAAAAACTAGAATATGAATATATATATATATATACATATATATGAATTGAATGAATAAAGCATGAAGGTTAAAAATTAAAATAACATAAGTCAAATTTTAGTTCTTTTTCTTCTTTTTCTTTTTTAGTTCTGAGTGATGATCTCATATTACTTCTTACTCATTCTCATGAACAAAATAGTAACAACAAGCAAAAAACCAGTCAACAACAACCATTCCTTTCTTCTTCTTCCTTTCTTTTTTGTTGCTCTGTGTACCTCCTGCCGATGGTTAGTGTGCTATTAGATGTGAAGAGCATACGAAAGAAAACGAGAACGAGACTTGAAGCATACAGAGTGATTAATCGAGGCTCTGTGTGTGTGTGTGTGCATAATGCACAAAAGATTGAAGTAATGATGACTATATGTTGTCCTCTAATGTCGTCTATATGGCTGACTATATATATTTGTTGTATGATTTTGTTCTCTATAAATATAAATATATTATACTAAGAAAACGAGAAAAAAAAAGTTAAAATCATTCTCGACGAGTTTGTTGCAAATATATAATATTTATTTTAGTTAATTTGAAAAAACTTCAAATATATAGTTTTTTTCTTAATCGTATTTTTTTTCTTTTCCTAGACCAATACTATGTACTGTCAATGATCAACAGTAACAGTAGATAGGAGACTCCAAAATGACACGATCGTTTTGCTCGCATATGCGCTCGCTCTCTATGTTTTTTACTTCTCTCGCTTCTCCCCTCTTTCCCCTTCCCTCCCCACCTTTCTCTTCCATGCTACGTCCCGCATCCCATCGTGATACATACATGGCCATTTGTGCTTGCGCGCTTGTTCGCAAAAATGAATCGCGCACGATAGACGAGCGAGCGAGCAAACAGCCCCCTTTTCTCTTTTCTTTTTTCCTATTCTCTATGTGTAAGTTGTATGTTGCACGCACGCATTCGCATTTTTCTTCGTTTTTTTTTTCTCCGTCTCTCTCGCTCGCTCGCTTACACTCACTCGCTATCGTTTTCTCTTTTTCTTTTTCTTTAACAACGACGACGAATGCGTAGAACATATAGTATTTCAAGCCTGGAGCTATCGTCGACGTCGCTATATATTTCTATTTATTATTCATTTGCGAAACGAGAGAGAGAGAGAGATAGAAAAAAAAAAGAGAATGTCAAGTAATCGGGCAAGTAAGAATCTGAATAACGACACTATTTCTTTTTCTTTTTTCTCTTTCTTTCTTCGTATACGTTCGTTACATAGACGAGAAAAAGAGAGAAAGGGAGAGCAGAAAAAAAGAAGAGAGAGAGAGAGAGA